ATCCCAAGAAGTCCTTTCAAGGAAAGTTCTTCAACAACCCTACAGACTGGGGAAAGGTATTATGCTAGGATTTTCATCTTTAATCAGTTTAGTCCATGTTTCTTCAAGGATCTTCTCGAATTGAAATTCCTTTAGACTATACTTTGGGCATGTTTAGTGTACTTTGTTGGGAAAAACTGTCGTTCACTCAATTATGAGTAGTTTGCCAAATACCAGAATAACATCTTTCAAGATGACTATTATTCACCCAGTGAAGCAAGTTTTTTTCCTCCCCGGTGAGGCTTCCCCAAGAAAAGGGTTTGTAGCTAAAAGTTTGGTTGATATGGAGATTCTTGGATGATTCCCCAGTGTTACTTGAAGCTTTTTCTCCCCAACATCACCCAGTAGAGGATCCTTGTGATTTATGAGATTTCATGGTATATGATTTATACATCCTCGACAGATATGTGTAATTGTTGCATTTATGGGAGAATGTTTAATCCTGGGAGCAGAGATGTCTTATTTCCCGGCTGAGAGTTCAGGTTTAGAATTTTCCTACCCCCCTACAAAATTGCCTTTGAATATTTCTCTTATTCCCCGACGAAGTCATTTCATGAATATTTCTTATTCAAGAATTATTTCATCTCCCCTGTGAGGATGATTTTTGTAAATCAATTACCCGAGAATGTTCATTCCCCAGTTAAGTCAATTCTTCGGAAGATTTTATTCAAGGATTGTTCCTTTTCCCCAATGGAAGTTTCTATTGTCCCCAGGCGAGAGGTTGACAAGTTGTTCCCCAAATAGTTAGAGGTGAATTTTGATTCACTGTAGGCCCCATTTTGTTGGTGCGTTTCCAAGTAACGCCCAATTTCCATTGATGCGTCCCTTCAGAAAAGTTACGGTTTCACCCTGATCTTCTCCAGTAAACGTCCAATCTCTATCTGGCATTCCCCATCAAAAATTATGGTTTCGCACAGATTTTCTCCAGTGGTGCCTTGTCTTCATTTGGCATCTCTTATCAGAGTTGACAGTCTCGATCAGATTTTCTCCAGCAGGGTTTGTAATTTATTTTTGCAACTTTTCTCAGAGCTTGTATCCTGTTTCTACCGGTTACTCAGCTCGTTACTCCCCACAGAGTTTCGGATCTTCAAGGGTTTCTCTCCAGCGGTTTCTTATATCTTCTCTTCTCCTTTGGAATTTGCAATTTATTTTTGCAAGTCCTGTCAGGTTTTGCCTTGTTGGTTGTTGTCTTCTCGATTAGCCATTCCCTAGTGAAACATTCAGTCATGCATCATCGCATTGCATACTCAAAGTGTATTGTTTCCATTCTCTTTTGGAACATTACTCCATGAAAAATAATAACTCAAACATGCATTGGAACGTAATCCTGTATTGTTTCTGTTTTCCCTAATGGATTTTCTAAACTTTGGACGATATCCCCAGCGAGGTCTCTATCCTCAGTATCCAGGTTTTCACCCATACAAGTATCCCTTTGACATTACCACTAGGTGATTCATTGTTTACTCATTATCTTTGTTTGTAGTCCAGTTTCTATCTGGCGCCATTTTCTCGGGTTTAGTCTTTACTACCCTTGTTGGTTCATTTCAATGTCTATTGATATACCTTATGAATACCAGTCTCGCCTTGATATTCATTTTCATCCTAGTTTCATCTAGTTGCTCATAGGTTGAGTTTTGTCTCGTTACCTGTGCGTGTAATCCAGTTTCGTCCCGGTACTCATCTTTGGATTAGTTTCATCTAATCTTCTTGAGTCGAGTTCGCTACTCGTTTTAAGTCTCATCTTTGGACAAGTTTCATCTAGTCTTCTTGAGCCGAGTTTCTACTCATTATTTGTCTCTTTTATTACTTGGGTTCATTCAGCATCATCTATTGTCTACCCTCGTTTGAGACCAACATGTGTTTTGTGAAATACACATAATTTCCGTCACCTTACTATAGGACCAAATTTCTATTGATGTCCTATTGAGTACTTTTTCAGAGCCTAGTTTCGTCTAGTTCCTCTTAGGGTGAGTGTCGTCTCGTTACCTTGTTTGCACACCAGTTTCTACCTGGCTCATTCTTTATAAGTACTCCCAGAGGACGAGTTTTATCTCGATAACCTCCACTTGATCCCACCAGTGTTCTACTAATGTGTAGATGGTATAAGCGCAGTTTTGTCTGTTCTTCGTTGATCGAGACTAGTTTATTTCCGGTATACCCTCATGGATCTGATATCTATTTTGTATCTTTAGAATCTATTATCATCTAGTTTTCTTGGGTTGAGTTTCGTCTCAGTATTTTGATTTGCGATCTAGTTTCGTCTTGGCGCATTTTTCTAGAATCTAGTCTAGTCTAGTTTTCTGGGGTTGAGTTTTATCTCACTATCTCAATTGGTGTTCAATTTTCGTCCTGGTGCATTTTTCTAAAATCTAGTCTCGTCTAGTTTTTTGGGGTTGAGTTTTATCTCACTATCTCAATTGGGGCCAGTTTCGTCCTGGCGCATTTTTCTAGAATTTAGTCTTGTCTAGTTTTCTAGGGTTGAGTTTTATCTCACTATCTCAATTGGTGTTCCAGTTTCTTCCTGGCGCATTTGACTACAATCTAGTCTCTTCTAGTCTTCTTAGGTTGAGTTTTATCTCACTATTGTGATTTATGTTCCAGTTTCATCTGGGCACATTCATTTAAAACCCAGTATTACCTAGTTTTTTTGGGTTGAGTTTCGTCTCAATATTGCGATTTGCATTCCAGTTTTGTCCTGGCGTATCCTTTTGAAGCTTAGTCTTATCTAGTCTTCTCGAGTTTAGTTTTGTATCATTTTCGCGATTTGTGTTTCAATTTTATCCCGACACACTGTTCAGGGTCTAATTTCATCTAGTCCTCTGGGGTTGAGTTTTATCTCATTATTTCAATTAGTGTTTCAGTTTTGGTCCTGGAACATTCTTCAGAATCTAGTATTATCTAGTTTTCTTGGGTTAAGTTTTACCTCACTATTGTGATTTGTATTTGTATTCCAGTTTGGTCCTAGAATATTCTTTAGAATCTAGTGTTAACTAGTCCCCTGGGGTTGAGTTTTATCTCATTATTTCAATTAGTGTTTCAGTTTTAGTCCTGGAACATTCTTCAGAATCTAGTATTATCTAGTTTTCTTGGGTTGAGTTCTATCTCACTATTGTTATTTGTACTTGTATTCCAGTTTTGTCCTGCCATGTTCTTTAGAATCTAGTGCTACCTAGTCTTCTCAGGCTGAGTTTTATCTCATCTTTATGGTTTGTGCTCCAGCTTTATCCTGGCACATCCTGTTTAGGGATTAATATCCATTATTTCTCTTAGGGTGAGTCCAATCTCAACTTGGCTTACTTCTCAAATCCAATTTCTACTTGGTATATCTCATTAATCTAGCTTTATCTGACACTCTTTGGCAAGATTCAGTATTCATCCTTGCAATATACAGTTACCGGTGTTTCTACGCTTCTGTTTTATTTAGAGCGTAAATTTTTGGGTTCTTTTAGTATTCAATCCTCTTCCACCTTGAACGTTCGAAAGTTGTCGCTTTTTCTCACTTATCAGATTTAAAATGATTGAATAGGAGCAGTTGTTGCCCCCTAAAATTTGATCTCTTCATTTTACTTTTAGTGGCTTATGTTTCATCATATGCATTTATTACATTGTGATGGGAGCAAGGTTATTTTGTTTCTCAAGTTCTCTATAAGCTACGGATTTTGGTTGTATTGCATATCAGTCCAAGATGGATCTCATCTCCTCATTATTTTGATCATTTAGGCTACCATGTATTTTCTTGCCTCATGATATCTCAAGTTTATTTGTTGTTTTATCATAGAATTGGAAATTGGCAAAGTAGTAAGGTGAATCATTTGTTCTCCTAATTTTCTCTTGAGATTAGGGTGTGTGTCAATTGAAGTATTTAAAGCTTGTGTGAATCGAATTTATGAATTAATACCATCTCATTATCATATGAGATATTATTCAAAATATTCTTCATTATTTTCCAAAATAAGGGTTGTGATATGGCCGCCTATCATGGATCTTTTCTCCTCAAGAGGAAATGCTTCTCCTTGTCAGGATTTCATTTGATCAAGATATAAAGTGTGAGCCATAAGATGTGGAACTTAAAGATGCTTTGTGCTAAAGGCTTCATTCCTTCTAAGTTCTTGTTGCTTGACACACAAGTTTTGGTCTAGTTAGGAATTTGAATTGAGCTAAAGGTTCATGTAAGCTACATGAGTTGTTTGGTTTTGTTCATTAAGGATTTGAAGTTGATCTGTAATCATTGTTTGGGTTGGTTTTCATTCAATTTTTCTAAAGGTGTTTAGTTGAATCAATTTGTTTAAAGCTTGTAAGAAAGTAGGTGGAAGATGGATTATTTGGATTTTCTTGAAGTACAAGTTTAACATGGATTTGATAATTAAAGAGTGGATTTATTGTTGTTTACTTGGTACATCAAATTTAATTTGTTCAAGAGCATATGTATTTATGATGTCAAGAAGTTGCTTCAAGCAAGGAACTATGGCAAAAAAGTTTGAATTGCAAATGATGCAAGTTTACAAGTTTACAAGTTTACTAGTTTACTAGTTTACAAGTTCGCAATTGTTTGCAAGGAGCTCATAGATTCAACATATACTTTTGTTACTAAGATTCATCCAAAAAATTTAAACAAGTTTACATCATCATTTACAAGTCCAGTCAAATTCTTCACTGTTCTTTCAAACAAAATTACGAAGTTACATAAAAATCCTAAACATGTTCTTAAGCCTAATCCCATGATTTCTAGGAGAGCTTTGCATTGCTTTTTCTTTTTGAATCTCCCTCCAAACTTCAAGTTGTAATCTCCTCCCAAGCTTCATACTAAGCCACAAATACTTCCTCTTCATATTTCAAGTTCACCGTTGTTGCAGTTCATGAAACAAGAACAAATAAGAAGGCATGATTAGCAAACAATCTAAACTTGAACATAAACAAGAATTTTCAAAGAATTTCTCTTCAAGTGTCATCATGAGGGCTTTATGAAGGAATCAGGAATAGGGAGTTTGAATTCAAACATGTCCATAAATCCAAGAATAAGGCCTCATACATCGGTTTCACAACAAAATTCATATTTCAAGCAAGTAATCATGGGCCAAGTTCTCTACTGCAAATCACAAGAACGGCCAAAAACTTGGTTCACAATAGAGGTCCAAAAGGAAAGTCACTACAGTAAAAAAAATTCAAATATAAATTGTATTTCCAACCCAAACAAGAAGAATCACAATAAATTCTCACATATCAGAATCACAACATATCAAAAAACATAAATAACATATCAATGTTACGCCAAAAACAAATGAAAGCAGACCTGTTATCAAAACTCATAATAAATTCAATTGATATTCCAGATCAGCAAAAACTTCTCAAGCAAGCTTTCATTCAGATTCAATCCTATACATCTATTCCATAACAGAAAATCGGAATTTGAGGGCCAAGATCTATTTCAGCTCTAACTGTTTTTTATAACAAACTAATAGAACTATAAAACAGAAAGTTCACACTATTCATTTTCATTATCTAATTTCTAGAAGAATCACAAAAAAAATCTCCACAAAATTCTCTCTACTCTCCCAACTTTACGATTCATTTTCATCTTCAATCTCAAATTTTAACCTTCATCTTCAATCATCTACAAAAAACCAGAAAAATATTTTTTAAAAAAATCAAATTCGTTCATAGATATAACTAAGCTATCAAGCTAACACAACCGCAACAAGCTTTCAAGCAAAAACCCTAACAATCATCATCTTCCTAACCTACAAACCCTTCAGATCAGAGAAAGAAGAAGAGGAAAAGCTATCACAAGAAACCGAAGGCAACAGAGAAGAATAAGAAGAAGGGAGAATCAAAAAGATCTCACTGAAAGATGAACAATTGATCTCAAAAGCATCGAATCATCATCGATCTCCTAGACTCGCCTTCCTTGATCTATCTTTTTCACTCTCCTTTGCTTTTACAATTGTTGTTTTCATCATAATCGCTGAATATTCATTGTTTTTGAACAGTTAGGGTTTCAATCTTCCCTTTCATATCTACATGAAATCATTCATTTCCTGCAACAATCAACAACAAATTAGTGTTCAGGAGGAAGATACAAAGATAAAGGTGAAAGAAAATTGAAGATCGGTGCAGATTGCAACGTCGCCGCCGCTGTCGCAAGGCGATTTCCAGCGTGACAGATCTTTATCGCCTCCGGTGAAGCTCTCTTTAGAGAGAAGTGGTAGAGAACACATGGTTGAGAGAGATAACACTCTCTTTTGTGTTACTTGTGTTAATTTATTAAACTAATTATAATCAAGCACTAATCCAGCGATGACACTTGTCACCGCCGTTGTGGCTGTTTTCTTATTTTGTGTAGGTACCTCAGTGTGAACAACCATGCACTCTCACATCATTACTGTCAGATCTTCATCGTCATCATCCAACACTTCAAAAGCGTGGAACCATGGTGGACCTCCCTGAAGGAGACATACCAGATCTCAAGGGCTCATCCAAGATCCTGTGTGCAACATCCCTCTCCTATTGTGCACCCTCGCTTTGCATCAGCCATCAGATCTATCCAGATCTAATCCAATGCTCTCCATGTGATCTCATGTTGTGCCCCCTGGAGTTGCCAGACAGCAGATCCAGCGGACATCCCACCTGGGGGTTCTATTGTTGGGCCTAGCGAATTGGTGTCCAACACCCCTTCTTTTACTCATTTCAGGCCCAATTCTATCTTTTTATTTATATTTCTTTTTTGTATTGTTTGTTTAAATATTTTTCTTTAATAATTAAAAATATAAAAAAAATATTTTTTTGTTTTAAATAATTAATTAGATTGAAAAATATATTTGATATCATTAATTATTTTTTTAATTAATTTTATCAAATAGAATGGTTCATTTTAATTAGTTATTTGATTATTTTCGATTGGGTTGTATTGTTTGTTTATTTAAAATTTTAATCGTGTTGTCGATTTGATACATGCCCATTCATAAACTTGTATCCCTATTCCCATATGGTTTGTAATAGCTTAGAATTTTATTTCTTTGTATGATTTAATTTTTTCTTAATTATGCATATGCCATTCTATCAAGACACGTGGCCTCCTCTTGGTCTCATCATTAATAAAAAGGTATCGACCTACAAAAATACACACTTGCACACATTCATAGTTTGGTCCTGGGCTTTTCTACAATGTCAACTATTCGATTGATTGTTCCAATTGGTCGTTTAGAATACTAGCACCATGCTAGTCTCACTTTCTAGGAACATGCATATAGCCACCTTGTATGGGATTTTTATTTTTATCTCATGCATTGAAGTAACTCTCTTCTTTCCTCTTGGTCCACATACCAAGCATTTTCTTAAAGGGTCTCATAGTTGAGTTTGGGCATGGCCATTCTCACGAGATTAATCAAGTTTTGCCCTTGGTTAATTATAACTTGAATCCATCACTTTGGTCCATATACCAAGTGTTCCATGCATAAAAGGGTCTCATAGTTGAGGGTAGAAGAACTTACTCTCACGAGGTTAATCAAGTATAGCCTTTGGTTAACCATAACCCGATTCAACTCCATTATTCCAAGCACTCCATTTATCTTGTGGACACTTGTGCTATGATTTTGTGATCGATTGTTGATGCAATCCAGGTATGAATAATTATTGGTTGATGGAGGAAACTCAAGTAGGCATTCAGTAAAGTTTTCTTATCACGTGCGCATTGAAGAGGCAACATACCTTCTCCATTAGGTATTATCATACCTCTCTTTATTCTTGCATATTGATGCATGATTAAACGTCTTACCTTTGTAAGATTATCTTGATTGTTTAATTTCTACCTTTCCTCTTAATTGACTACTTGCTTAGGTTTCTACCTATGTGCATGATCTTTCTTCCTTACTTGCTTATCTAAGCATGTTTTCTTTAGGTATCTTATCTAAGTACCTTATATCTTAAGTAATTCTCTACTTCTCATGCATGATGCATGATTATCTAATCATCATCTCCTATCTCTTATACTACTTTGATTCTTAATATGATTTTTAGGTGTCATGTTTTATCATCTCATCTTTGCATGATTTTTTTCCATCTGTGATGGGTTGGGAGAACTGAATTGAGGGTTTTGCGTTTGTATTCGCAAATGTTGCAGTTTAGCAAGAGTCACCACCGACTTTTCTTTTATCCAAAAGGAAAGGTGAAAAAGCACAGGAAAGACCTTTAGAGATGTTTTCTTGAGTTCGTGGGGGTAGATTATGAAAAGGGAAGGTATTAGCACCCTTTTCATTCATGGTTTTCCATGGGCTCTTAGTTACTTGCTAGATCACTTGCTTTTGTTTTGAATGTGTGCTTGTGATGTGGTTTTTGAAAGTATTTTGAAAATGTGACTTTTTAATGATTCTCGTCTCTATAAGAATGCGTACAAAGTGTTGTTTTGAAAATCGTTCAAAGAGGTGTTTGTGGGACGTGTATTTTAAAGTGATTTTGAAAAGGGTTTTCTTTGTAATTGATTCTCGTCTCTATAAGAATGCATACAAAGTGTTGCATTTTAAAAATGTTTCAAAGTGAGAGTGTCGGTGTATATAATGTTTTTGTTGTGAGCAAGAAAGCAACTAGGAGCGAATCTACCTACTCAAAAGGTCTTTAGATGTTCTTTTCCTCCTCCTTTAGATGTTGCTATCTTACCATTGTTTTGGTAAGAAGCCCCATCGTTGGATGTTTAAGGGACGAGTGTGGGTCATTGTATAACCATGATAGCAATGTTGTGAGGTATCTTAGCATTTCTATTTGAGGGATTAAGATCATTTTGAAAGGCAACATTTATAGCATCATCGAGGGACTATGATCTTGTATTTCGATTGTTTTTGCTAAGACACCCGACATGCATATCATGACCATTTTTTTAGGCAACAAGTGGAGTTAACCTTAAGGGTGCATGTGTGAATAGTGTGTTTGATTTGCATGCATTTAATCTTTGATTAGGGTTATCTACTTGTTGATTTTATCTTTCCATACACACCCTAATTACTAGCATTTACATTCGAAAGCGATAAATTGCAGAAACGTAAAGTCCTATGCTATTACAATATTTTAGGGATGGGGGTACATATTTACAAATGGGGATTGCAAATAAAATTAAATCCTAAGTTACTATTACAACCATATTGAAATGTATAATACAAGAAAAAAGGACTTGTTTAGAAAATGTTTTTGTCTTAATGAAAAAAGAAATAAATTAATAAAAGAAAGAAAATATTTTTATGTCTTTTTATGTTGATATTAAAAATGGTGAAAAGGAAGATAAATGAAAGATAGAAACAGCGTGCTACTACAAGCAAAACAACAAGAATCAGAAGTTCTGGAGTCAAGAGTGATGTGACTCAGCAGGAAACATAAGTGGGTGTCAGAAGTTCTGAGTTGGTAAACTCTGAGGTCCTGCAAGAAATGTTAGAGGAAAAACACAGAAATAGGTGGTATTCAGACAGTGAGCCAAAAGTCAGAGGTTCTGTATTACACTAAAACAGTGAGTAAACATCAGGAATTTAGTGCATTATCAGCATGTAAAAATCAAAAACTCTGAGTGTTTAAAGCAGCGAGGGGAAGCATCAGAAGTTCAGTGTATTTGACATGTAGGGAGAACTCAGAAGTTCTGTGCTGTGTTAGAATAGTGAGTGAATCATGGAAATTCTATGTGTTAGAATGGTGAGTGAAAAATAGAAGTTTTGTGTTACATTTCAACTCTTTCAGCAAATCAGAAGGATAAAAGCGCAACAGTTTATAGAAGTTCAGATCCTGATCCTGAGTCTAGCCTTAATCAGGAAGTTCTGATCCATAGTCTTTCTACTTACGCAGTGATATGGACAATAATCAATATTGTGATATTTACATGTTTAATGATGTTCTGAATGAGAAGATGCAGAGTAAGGGAGACTTACCTTGAACCTGGAGGGTGTATTTGGAACTTGAGTTGCTGCCTTCAGGTATTCTAGAATCTGCAAGAGCAACGAAAGAGAAAATACCAAATTCTTTTACTTCAAGGGAAGAACAAAGGTTTTGGTTTTCTGTTTTGGAATTCTGGATTTTTATGAAGGTATCACTGTTTTCTTTTCTTTCTTTTGACAATTCCCTCTCTAAAAGCCAACAGGTTTTTGTGTTTGCAGTTTTTTGGACTTTTTGCAGGGGTTCAAGGCTTTTCTTTCTCAAATTTCTGACCTGTTTACAGTTTCCAATGGAGTTCAATTTATAGGCACAGATTTAGTACTTTTTAGAGGTCAAGTGGCACCAA